GCAAGGTAAACCACAGAAAAAGGGAAATAATACGGGATATGTACTAGGATATTGTATGTTTAATAAAGTTGTATCCTAGGTTAAATTACTGTTTCAGTCGAGTAACATACTATTTGTAAGTAGCTTATAAGGCCACAACAATCCTTCGAGAATGTGACTCCTTCATAGTGGTGCTAATGCTATACATTTTGGAATGAGAAACCGGACACTGAAGGGACAACTAAGTTACAATAACTATAAACCTACAGCCCGCTCTAAGAAAGAGTCTACTTTGCCTAGTATATAAAACAACTGTGAAAAAATGCAAACTCGCCTGGAATATCTGCTACTTATATTCCATAAAGCATTCTTCATGTTCCTCGTTCAGTAGTGATAGTGGGTGCTGAAGTGCTTCTGTTCCTACAGATCCCTGGAGGTTCTTTAACAGTAATCTTATACAGACTCTAGTCCAGGTTAAAATGACACAGATACTCAAAGATAAAGTAGCTTAAATAGTTGGTGTTATTTTAGTGTTCGAAACGGTTTTTTTGTAAGATGCATATCATAGACATACATTTACCTCAAATAAAATATAAAAGCGAAAAACGTGCATTTAAAAGTGTCACCGTTTTAGTAACCTTTTCTTTTCTAACCGGTCTATCCTGTATCAGAGGTTGTGCCCACCTAACTGTTCTAACTGGTTTACGAACCTGTGTATTGTTCGTTAAACCATCCACGATATGTTGTGGAAGCTTCCTTAGGGTTACATATGGTGGATGGTTGTTTAAGTATGCCTGCTTGAGTCTGTCTATACTAACGCTGTCTTGAGGGTTACGGCGTTGTATGACGAAATGTTTTGGATGTCGTGGAATAACTTTAAAGGGTTCTTCATATGGAGGGCTATGAGGTGGTTGAATTCTATCACAACGAACCCATATGTGCGTTCAAGGATTTATATCTTTGGGGATACAGACTGCTTTGGCCTGCTCATGGGTTGCAACCGGTTTTAAGCCAGCCATTTGGTATCTAAGTCGATTGCATAAGTTGACTGGTCGATTTTGTCGCTTTCAACCTTGGGGTTGATAAAATCGCCAAGAAGTCTTTGGGTGGTACCGAAAACTAATTCCGCCCCTGATAATTGAGCGTCACTTTTGACTGCTGTGCGAATACCTAACATTATCACGGGAGGTATTCTGTTCGGCGAGAGGGATCAAAGTGTGATATCAAGGTGGTTTAAAGTTGTCGATGAAATCTTTCCACCACACTGTTTGATTGTGGGTGGTACGCCGTGCAGCGTATTCTGTAAGAACCAAGGAACTTGGCTAAGTTATTAAAAAGTTCTGATTCAAACTGTGCCCCTCTGTCGGTGGTTATCGTCACAGGGACACCAAATATTGACACCCAGTTCTACGGAAACACCCTTGCCACTGTTTCTGCGGTAATGTCCGCAAGTGGAATGGCTTTTGTGAACCTTGTGTATCTATCAATACATGTGAAGAGATACGTGAAACCATTAGAATGGGGTAAAGGACCTACCAAGTCCACCTGCACATGTGCGAAACGCACATCGGGTTGCGAAAACGTTCCCAAAGGTGAAACTGTGTGTCGGTTCACCTTGGATTGCTGACATGCCACACATTCCTTAACCCAATTTCGTACATCGCGCCGTAAGTTGGGTTAAACATATCTGTCAGCAATAAGTTTTGTGGAGGCTTTTGCTCCAGGGTGTGACAACGAGTGAAAGTTGTTGAATACTAACCTCCTCATGATTTTAGGCTCATAAGGTCCAGGTGAATCTCTCGTCGTTTCACAGTAAGTGAGTCTATCGTCTATGGGTGAAGGTAGCTGTTTAAGTTTCAGGTCACAACTAATACTGGAAAGTAAATTTCTTAATTCCTCACTTGTTTCTTGATTTGCTGCTAAAGCCTTGAAATCTGTAGTAGATTGATGAAAAGTGCTAACGTTAATCTGGGACAAAGCGTCCGCCAAGCAGCTTTGTGCACCTTTAACATGTCTTATGTCGCTAGTAAGTCACGACATAAAATCAAGGTGACGAATTTCACGCGGTGAGTACTCGTCAGGCCTTGCATTTATAGCACAAGTTAAAGGCTTGTGATCCGTGTAGACCGCAAATTTCCTGCCCTCCGCCATGTGACGGAAATGCTTAATTGCTAAAAGGATCGCTAGCAGTTCTCGGCCAAACGTTGAATACCTAGTTTCGAGTGGGGAAAGGCGTCTCGAAAAGAGTGCCACTGGCTGCCATTGATTGTCCACAAACTGGTCGAGTGCTGCTCCCACAGCCTTGTTGGAAGCATCGACCATCAGTGCTAATGGTACACTGACATCAGAGTATTTTGGTGTTGCAGCCTTCGTTAAAGCCATTTTCAATTTGTTGACAGACTCAGTAGCTTCTGCGGAGAGCTTACAGGCCTTAGGATTTCCTCTTAAGGCGTCAGTTAGGGGTTGCATTTGCTGTGCACGATGTGGTATGAATCTATGATAGGAATTAATCAGACCAAGAAGACTTCTTAGTTGCGTTATAGAGGGGGGTAGTGGGTACTGGTTGATAGCCTCCATCTCTTTTGGCAATGGTGATGTTCCATCCCCATTGATCATGTACCCTAAGAATTGAATGTCCTCAACTCCGAAAACACACTTACTTTGATTTATCGCCATACCATTGTCGTTTAATTTTTGTAAGACCGCCCGTATGTGATTCTCGTGTGAATCTGTGTTCGGTCTGGCAATCAGTAGGTCGTCAATGTATGCTTTGGCGAATGGTGAGTCCCGTAGAAGACCGTTCATACACCGCTGGAATGTTTGTGCAGCATTCCGAAAGCAAAAAGGCATCCGCACAAATTCGTATAAACCCAGTGGGGTGGTGATGACTGTTTTTGGAACGTCTTCTTCGGCCACCGGAATATTGTGATATGCATGGACTAGGTCTATTTTAGTGAATGTAGTGGCACCTGCAAGACAGTGAAGTCCTGAATATGAGGAACTGGGCACCTATCAGGAATGGTTTGTTTGTTTAGCGCCCTATAATCACCACATGGTAGCTAGTCTGTTTGATTTTTCTTGGGCACCATGCGTAAGGGGAAGGGCGAATGATGCCTAGCCGAAACATATAGTCAACTTCAACCCTAGCGCTTTTCAGTTTATCTGGCGCTAGTCTCCTGGGTTTTGCGAATACAGGAGGGCCATGTGTTTTTATACTATGCTTCACCTTAGGACCTACGTGAGAGGTCCGCGCGTTGGATGACGTCCGGTTTAAAAAAATCCGCCAGCATATTTCTGAACCTTCCGGTTGATATTCGAGATTGTACCAGGTTTAGGGATGTGATCGTGCTGGCCTTGCCTTTTATGTATCCAGAAGTCTCCTTCAGGGTCAACCTTTGCTTCTTTGTGTCTACTAAGAATTCATACCCCTCCAAAACATCTATACCCGGTATTGCAAGGTCTAGATCTGCTATGGTGAACACCCAAGGGAATCGCAGTTTGAACCCAAGATCCAGGGTGATGGCCTTTTGTCCGAACGTCGCTATTGGTGTTTTTTAGCGGCCTGTAGCGTGACTGTGGACATTTGGTGTCCGAGCTCGACCCTGTTCCGGGGGAGAATACTAAGAGCGGCCCCCGTGTCTACCAAGAACTCTATGCCAGAATTTCTGTTTGTGACCTAGAATGGGCGACTGTTCGGGCACACCTCCTCAGCAGTCGCTACCCGAGGTGTCTTCAGTTTCCATGTTTGCCAGGCCAGGCGCATGGCTCTGTACATCGTTTAGATTGTGCGCCATATTTACAGTGATACCAACAGAATTGTACGGACAGCCTCGAGTGACTGGGTCTACTTCGTGATCTATGTCTGAGTGCTGACTTGCCTCTTTGATTCAGTTGTATTTGAGCCACAGCTTCTGTTAGTAATTTCACGTCCGCCACCAATTCAGTGATGACAGCGTCTTTGGATGAGCTAGGACTAGTATGCAGTGATAAGTAGTTGTTCCTGGCTGTTCCTCTCTCCATAATGCGATCGGCAACTTGGGCCAATTCTGGAAGCGGGGTTTTCGAGTCCCGTGCGTCAAGCGCACACTGGACATGATGCGGCAGTGCCTGTATCCAACCTTCCTTGAGGATGGCTCCTGTGACCGAATTTTCTCCCACTATCTTTTGTGAGTGTCTCAAAAACTGTGATAGGGATCTATCTCCCATCATCTCCCCTTGTAGCAGACGTTGGATGCGTCGGCTGTCTGACTTTGATTGACGGCTTATTATAGCACGCCTGAGCTTGGAATAAGGGTCTTCTTCAGGGGCATTGATTATGAGGTCACGGACCGCTTTACTGACTGAGAGAGGGAGAATGGAGCACAAGTCACTGTATCTCAGTTTCTCTGATTTAATTTTATGTCGGTCAGACAAATGCTCCTGCTGGGGGAACTATAGTTCTGGGTCTTGCTTATCGAAGGCTAGTAATCGATTCTTAGTGGCAACCACAGTGCCAACCTCCAGTGAAACGGACTCATTAGCAATATCGGAATCAAAATCAATAAGGCCAGACATTAAAAAAAACAAAAATCAAAATCAGTAGATAAACAGTTAAAATGAATAAATGCAAACAATACACGTTATCCGGCTCACTAACGTTGGACCCAGGGGCTTAAGGCTAACACCATGAACTATTTGTTTTAGACAACCACGACGTATCAAATAAAAAGGCAGTGGTAGAAGTATAGCGCCTTTATTCCAAGCACTCTAGTGGGCAAGTTCCACTGGCCAAGGTTTTACGAGTAAATTAAAAGTCATTCATCATTCAATTGCAGTCAATAGTGAATGTAAAGTTTACAACAGATAGAAATTATAACCAAGTTTACTGGGCACTACAAACCAACTAACAATCAACTACTTTTTCTGTATGCCAGAGCTACGTAAGATGAATGGCTGAATCTACTGCATCGGAGTCCGCCGAAGACCTGGAATCGTTCGAACTGAACTAGAAGCGAGCACAAACAAATTGTCTGGTTTACACAGGCTCGTCTAACAAATATTGGATATTGAACCGAAGGCCACCTTTTTGTTTGTCGTTTGGTCATTCAGTGCGTCGGTCGGTGCTGTGATTTATCAGGTCGGTCACTGGTTTTATTTCCTTATTTGTGTAAACCTGTGTGATTCCAGTTACCCATAGGGTATTTGAAGTCTACATGCGGTTTGGTAGTTGATGGCATATACGGTTACTCACTCTAAAACGATGACGCGTGATTTGTTTTTCTCCTTGTGTTGCATTGTGACGATGTAGCATCCTATTGATGTTCGTTCTGATAATTGTCTCAATCTTACCGTTGATGACCTCACTATATATTTGGATTTCATTGGAACATTGATCAGCTTTATGCGATAAATGCTTAGCATCGTTTTGCAATTTAAGACCGTGCTGCGGCACGATTAACTGACACGGTCTAAAATTCTCAGGCAACATGCTTTATTATGTATGATGTCTGAAAACTACCTCTATAGTTCAGAAAAATGTTTTCGGGTGAATAAAGTTACAGTGCCTTGCATTGTTGGAGCCAAAGTATGCATTGGCAAGTAGCAATGTAATTACATTGCTTACAGGATCCCAGTCAACATTTTCGCGGGGCGAAACGCAGGAGCATGTTGCAGACTATAGTAAAAACATGGAGTAAAACGCGGGAATGCAATATTTCACCGAATTTCCTCGCTGAAATGTCGACTGGGGTTATAACAATCGAGCATAAAATTTCCTCTCAGTATTGATTACAGGGACCAAGGGGTTATACCTTCGAAATGACTACGTTGGTAGTGTGCTCGTCAGTTATAATTTGCAGTTAGTCGTGTTCATTCATGCTCATACTTCTGGCACCGGAATACTACAGGACAGGTGAAGGGTGTGCTATTTTCGGGGGCCACCTTTTGTAACATCCCCATTCCTTTAGAAAGCATCAGCATGGACTTCTGGTCATCCCTGTGAAAAACCTTAAATGTGTTGTACTCCATCCAGCTAGCATTACGACGTCTCAGAGCTCCCATTGTAGCGTAGCCATTTAAACTATGATGGTAGCTGCCTTTTTTTCCATACCTGTCCAACAAATTTCTCTGGAATGGTCGGACCTCAAGAAACAGACTTTACAGCAAGTGAAGTTCGTTAAATCTTCTGGCTATAGAACTAACCACTACGTCAAGGTAGCATCTATGGGTCGGGCTAATATATGAAGAGAGAATTAATAGATTAAGATGGATGAAATAGTTGAAGGCTGTGACGATAAGTTGCGTATGTATCTGCATCACTACAACCACTTCCTAGATCGTCTTCAAACATTGTCTCTTGTTATCTTGAGGACTTCGGTCGGACTGCTTACAGCTCTCTGCATAACTTAGAGTAGTCAGGGTCTTCACAGACTGATACCATGTCTTAACATGGCTGCCCTCAGCTTTCTTCCTCCCTAACCCCACTTTGGTTAACATTACTCGTCGAGAGAGGTGGTAGTTCGATGTGCACAACACATATCCAAGTCACTTCACTCTATGAAGGTTCACATCATCGACTGATTTACCTTCCTTACCTAGTACTCTACACTTTATCTTCACATTATAGACGTGGCGATTTTAGCAAGTGTGCGCAGTACTAGGAATACACCTGTGGTCTCAAAGCATTAGCTCCTTCATACCTTTTACTTTCTAAGGGGATGTTAACCGTATGATCAGATCGAGCAGATTGTTGTTCAGTGTACTCATCCTTTGATATGTTGTCAGATTCCTCATTAGCTTTATGAGTGGCTTAAGCTGGCAAACGCTAAACGAGCCTTGTGAATCCGAGCTGAGTTATGCTCAGCAACCAGTGCATTCAGCCTGCTGCAACTCCCCAAGTAATTTAGGTGGTCAACATGTCTAGCTATTTTACTTCCTATCCTTGAACTGGGACTCAGTGATGACCAGTCGTGAGTCATAGTCTTAGAATTGATAGATGCAGACTCAGCAAACGTACCGAAATTTTCTCCAAAGGTGTTTAGAAGACTGCATTTTATCAGCGATTCTGCCTGACAGGCTTATACTATCTGCATATTCTAAATCGGTCACATTTTGTTTAATCTCTATCACTGAGCAGTCGTAGGTACTTAGGCTTATATCCACCAGCACATCTAAGTACTTCTACAGGGGAATCGTTCAGGTGACCAATATAAACTAAACCGTACGTTTAATTGCAGGATTTGGATTCTACGGATTTGCTCGTATCATGAATTACATTCAGTTGGCACCTAGTTCAAATATTACTGCCTGAGCTCTACCTCTGCAACTTAATCCTGGAACCAAGTTTACCTTATTGGTCACATACATTAATCGTGGGGGGTCCATACATGGTTACTGCTACTTCTAGAGTGGCTGTTTGAACTACATTTTTGTTTTCATGTGTGTACCAAGTTTATGCATCATTATGGCCACCCATTTTCTCATTTTAAACAGGTCGACTTCGTCCAGCTGGTCGGACTTAATGTTGACTCTAAATAACGCAGCGCTAGGTTAGAAGTTAGTTACTGATCTTTTTTGAAGTTTAGTAAAGTACAAAACTCCATTAAAGGTGTCCAACAGGACTGTTTCAGCTCATTCAAACTAGTAGCAGGAAGTTGCTTACTGCCAATCAAACTGTCTGTGAGGTAAATGTAATGTGGGCCGACACTCTTCAACGATGTCTAGTGTGCTGAGCGAACCCTTCAAAAGACAGTTTGATGAAATTGCTGCTAAAAGTACCTCAACCCTAACATTTTACGTTTGTTGGCCACTTTACATCTGACTGTGGAATTACAGCTCTTGTTCAGGTAGTTGACTTAGCCAGTGAATCATCAATAGAACACCGCTCCACGTACTGAGGTTTGGATACCCAGGCAGTGTGATTGACTCTCGCGCAATAGCTGTGGTTCACTGCCTGCTGCAATAACGTACACAAGGTTGATAAGTGCATTTCGATCGACATATGACTACCTAGGAAAACAGAAGTTCATAGGGAAATCCAGGTACTAAACTACCTTCCAGAGACACTTTGGAAACCTTCTGGTTCTTATTGAAAGATGAAAGCAAGGTTGATGTCTATTACCCGACACACTTCCTCCTAATTTGTTTAGGGTAGAAAAAAGCAATTAAAAATGGAAAATGATTAACCTGTGCCACCGTTTAAAAAACATTGCGTTTGTGTGGCCAAGATAATTTCCTATTAGACTATGACAATTATTTGTAGGAATCTGACTAGTTCAGTCCAGGTAAGCTATGTGTATTTAAATTGGCTTAGAAGATCGTCATCACTTGTCACATTGTCTGTTTTAAGAAAGTAATCGCTATCAGGTTAAGATTAAATGCAAAATTAAAAAATTTGTAGAGAATTTTACTTTGTAGTGACAATGTGTCATTTCAGGGAGCCCGTTTCAAAATACATTGAGTGTAATTGTCGTTATGATACTTGTAATTTCCCGTCGCTGCAGAGGGCTGAATCGCTTGACCTCTGTTGGTAGATGGGCTTCTATGCGGATGTCTTGATAATGCTGCTTATTAATGCTACATTTATCTCGGTGACTAGCAGAGGAATCCAGGACTCGCGTTTCATCCTATTTGAGACTCAGCTCAGGGGATAACGATCTAGCGTTTTAAGCGATGGGTACCGAAATAAATCCACAGTTGGAACAATACTCATTGGGGTGCAGGTACATCCAGCTGGCGAGTTCCGAGTGGGATGGAACGCGTGTCCTGGTGGTCGCTTAGGTCAATATATATTGAGTGTAATTTATAACGAAATCTTAAATGTATTCATGAAAAGTTTGCACATAATGATAAGTTCTTATTTTGGTAATAATTGGAACAAAATTACTGCCCGTGACTGAGCCAACTGTTGGAATATTTTTAGTAATAAACCGAACTGAAAGCTTACCATTGTTTGTGAACAGCATTTACTTAGTTTCTTATGGTTCTAAGAAGTGCTAGTGCATTGGAATTCTCGTTGTTATCAAACAACTGCAGTAAATTGGCTTATGAATACTGTGTAAGCACTTAGTATAATGTGCATAAGGGAAAATACAAGGATTTTTGGCGACGCTTTCAATCATAGTTAGCAGTTTAAGAAAGAATCCTAAATTCACTTAACATTCCTTGTGTCTGTTTAATGGATGTGTTCCATTGAGAACATTCGTAGTTGACAAAATCAGACTTCCATAATGGAGCAGATCAATAGCGAATCCGCCCACAGGTCACACCAAATGTGCGTTGTTTGGGAGTGAAAATGGTCGGTTTCCGAAGTATTTCAGTGGTAGGATGTGGATGTTAAGAACTAATACTTGTTGCGATTAACCTTTGTGGTATCTTCGCAACTGACTCCAGATACATAGGTTGAGGTAAAAATTTTCAGATTAACATTGTTAACTGATTTCTAATCACTGATCGATACAATTCACAGTGAGTTTTAGAGATTCATGAATAAGGTTATTGTAAGTAATGTGGCGTTTATGAGAACTGGTGATTCTCACGAAAATCATTGACCCACTGGAAGCTTATCACAAGACGATGACACTAACATTACGGATACTTTATTCAGTTGCACTAACAACCATTTCAAAATTTTACATAAGGTTGGAATAGACTGCTTCTGTTAACATTTTACTTTCATCGTACATCTAGAGTTCAGATAACTATCATACTAGTTTAGATTGGTAATAAAAGTGTATTGACGAATGTTAAAGTTTTCATTGCTGAGGTCATTTCAACACATGTTTTGTTAACAACTATCTCCATACTTTTGAATATTCGGATAGACATGCTAACTAATATCCATCATGAATGAACACTACTCGATCAAGCTTAATTTGAATGGTGTAAAGTAACCAAGGCCTAGAAGTGACTTCAAAGGCCGCCCTAGTAACCAATGCAATAGCCACTTACATTATTTTATGCAAAAGTACTTTCCCGGGAGAAATATCGGAGTCTGATTGGTATATTCAGGAGTTGCTACGATGACTTTTAAATCCACTCAAAACCTACCCTGCCAGCCGAAATGAAGAAACTTATTGGTTATTTCGATGGTTGCTAGGTTGGCCTTTAAAGTCGCTCTAGGCCTGGTAGTAAGCAGAG